AAGAAGTATTGAAAAGGTATTACACATGGGTAATATCGTTGTGTTAGAGATTTTCCTCTTAAGAAATCACATGGAGCTTGGAAACCAAATCATGAAAATTTATATTAATTTTTGTAGCAATATGCATGAACTATTTCACGGGTAAATACGATTTTTTAAAAAGCTGAGGCACAATCGATACCAATTGTGCAAGACTTCATTACACTTAAAAAACCAATGTCAGTGTCGGATACTATGATATAAACTATTATGACAATCAGGAGTCTGAAATATGTATTTCTACCAAAATGGGAGACCCTTCACAGTCAACGAATCATTGCATATTTCTGTCGCAATAAGTAAGATGTATCTAATTTCGTGTCGGAATTGGGCATAGGCTGCCATGTTGAAGTCGTTCGACAGAACGATCTCAGTATAGGTCTAATAAAAACCTCTTTTTAATTCTTTCAAGTTCGACTGTTTCCTGAACGAATATGTTACTTTAACCATCGTTTTTTGTGTCCATTGCTAGATCACGCAAATACTCAGGCCAGATGAATACCTGAATGGGAAATATAGTGTTCAGAACCCGTTAGATTGTCGACTTAATAGTGTGGGGTCGGGAACGAACTGGTAAACAGCTATGGTGTCTACGAAACCGTGATAACTACTTCTACAGTTCTCCGAGAAACTAACAATTTTAATTTATTAGTTTTTAAAACACTTTATCCTTATGTGCTAATTAAATCCTAACGGCAGCATGAAAACATCCATCGCAATAAGAGTCCATGTCAAACTTCTAACTTTCAAAACAGAATAGAAGCCTACTGAGGTTTTGTTCTGGAGAGACGGGTGGAAGAAGGGGATTAAGAGAACATCAGGACTTAAGGATACCCCATATAATAGGACATGAGGACTCAAGGGAACCTCCATATAATAGGAGATGAGGATCCGAGAGTACCTCCAAATAATAGTATAAGAGAGCCTAAGGGTACCTCCATATAATGCAGATGAAGACCCGAGGGCCTCAATATAATAGCACACGAGGACCTAAGAGTACCTTCATATAATAGTACATGAGGACCTAAGGGTACCTTCATATAATATCATATGAGGGCCTAAGAATACCTCCATATAATGGGAGATGAGGACCCGGGGTACCTCCATATAATAGCACATGAGAACCCAAGAGTATCTTCAAATGAAGTACATGGCGACCTAAGGGTAGCTTCATATAATAGGACATGAAGACCTAAGAGCACCTCGAAATAATAGCACATGAGAACTCGAGGGTACCTTTTTATCAATAAAACATAGATCAGTTAAGCATATACCCTGTGGTACTGGGACCCAGTGGCACTGGGCTCCCCAATGGCACTAAATGCCCCAGTGGCACTAGTACCCACTGGCACTGGTACCCACTTAATTGGCAGTGGTGCATACATAATTCCCACTGTACTCCCAGGATTCCCATTGTACTCCCAGGATTCCCATTGTACTTCTTGGATTCCCATTGTACTCCCGGGATTTCCATTATACTTCGGGGATTCCCATCGTACTCCCGGGATTCCCATCGTACTCCCAGGATTTTCACTGGATTTTTAGGGATTCGGAATCCCAAAAATCCGCCGTTTCCCCCTAGCCTACACCCCACACCCACATCAAAACAATAATTGAAGTTGCACATGCCTGTGTTTCATGCTTGCAGATCAAGTCTAGACGATATTTAGGAAAACACTCAAAAGATATCGAATGCGTATATGGCAATCGTAATCGGAACATAAATAGAATAAATATATTTTAAAGAATGAATCAGCTAATAATGCAGTCCGCTAGAATAAACGTATGAAATAAAATAAGAAGAGAACACAAGATAAATATGAGGACGATTTTGAATGAATGAAAAACACGAAAAAAAAAGAGAGTGGCAAAGAATATGCTTTGGCAAATGCATCATCAGATTTAAACAACGAAAATATGTAGAAAATGTTATTCAATATATTTGTACATTTCATCAATTTGCTTTTCAAAATATTTTGCTAATTCAGGTCGTTTTGATTTCATTGTTGGTGTTAAAAGATTATTTTCAACTGAAAATTGTTCAGGATAAAGATAAATATCTTTTACCTAAGCAAAAAAAAACAAACTTTAATTTTCTCTTTAGGATCTTTTAAACGATTAACATACCAATTCAAATCCTTTCAATTGATTTAACTTTTCCAATTCTTTTATATCATTGAAAATTAAATCTTTAATTTCTTGTTTCTTACATAATTCTTCCATATTGCCTGAAAT